ACATTGAGTAGCCTTGGAGTTTCCAGAAAGCGATAGACAGTGCCAACGCAAAGATCTGCAGCTGTATCAGGCGAGTATGCAATGCCTGAGCTAGGGCTCGCGCATTGCTTTGGCCAAGATCTTTCGTGAGACTCCAAAACCAATTACATTACATCCAATTTCAAAATAATAATATGGGTTTTGCAACGGAAACAAAACAGCATTGTCTGAAACAACATTTAGCGTCCAGAAGGCCCAAAGAGCGCTTCGAAAATCTGCTTGAAGTCATCCAAACTTGAATAGAGCTTCTCGGATTCTAGCCTGAACTTGTCCACTTGGCGTATGAGCCGTAAACCCTCATTGATGCAATCAGCCTGGACTGCCAACAGAACTAAGCCCTTCTCACTGATCCACCTCAAATTCCGTTTCATGGGCTCCGAGCCAAGAGTAGACTTGTTTGCAATCTCGACGCATACAGAAATGAATCGGTCGACCAGCATGGCCGCGTTCCAGAGTGGACGGGCCTCGGACTCGAAGCGTTGTCGAGCGGCACCGAGAGAGCATCGGCCTCGCAGCGTGCTGCCCACTTTTTGGCCTGCTGCCTCCCACCAGTCCCTGTGGGCGTCACTGTTGTCGATCAGGTGAATGCAACTGGAGTGTCCATGGAGCGCAGCATTCATGATGCTCTGCGCCTCGGCGCTCATTCGCAGGCAAGGGCGTCGAATGACTGAGCGAAGCGCATGCGCTTTGTCACGACAAAGATCTGAACATTGACCCAAAGACTGCTTCATCTGGACAAGTGCATTCTGGTCAGCTGGGTTACCATCAGCACAAGCACCATGTATGGCAAGCCGGATCTGCTTTTCCAAATCCAAGTCCCGTTGTCCCACAGGTCCCGTTTTTGGTGCATCAACATCTCTCGTGGCAAACCTTCGGATGGCCCGATTCAGAGTGCGGGCGATGCTATCTGCCGACCCATTGACATTCCTCTCTAGACCCAGCACACCCCTGCATGAATCCAATGTTTTCGGGTTGGCTACCTTGAAAACGATCAGGATGTCACTCTTGCGCTTGTCGTGCGCAATGGATGCGATCGAGCCAGGCTGAAAGCAGCCCCGCCACATTTCTCTCTGAGCCTCAGCCATGCAATACCTTTTCTTGTGCGACACCAACCACTGCTGCGGCTGCTCTCCCCCAAGCCGGTCCAACTCCACCTCTGCCAAACGCTTCTTGGAAGTCCGTCTGAGATCCTGCACTGCTGGCTTCAGAGGGCCAACAGTGCCATCTGCAGGCTTACGAACTTGCGCCCCTGCGCTCTCGAAAGCTGACAAAGGTGGAACCCAAGGTCCCAAGCATCTCTTCTGCAACTGGCTTCCACTACCAGGATCGCCGGCAGGGATTTCTTTTGGACGACAACTCCGCCACAAAAACCATTCACTGCACTGCTGCAAGGCTAAGGACACGCTTTCCTCGTGCTTGCGGGAACCAGCGTGCAACTTAAGACTCTTCTTGATCGGGTTTGAGACCTCCCAAGAAGCCCACTTGCCTTTCTGTCCGGCTTTGGCGCAAAGGCGGCACCCAAACATACCAGCAGATTCTGCCAGCCAGCCACCACTTGCTGCACCTGCGGCGATGGAGGCCCCAGACAGCCCAGAGTTCAAGGACACTGGGACGCAGGCTTCAGCTGAGACATGTGACCAGAGCACTCAGTGCCCACCTTGGCCACGATTGGATGAAGTGACCCGGCTGACGCATGAAAATTTCTTTTTGCAAGGTGTAATTCGACGAGCCGGTGTTAGATTTGAGTGGCCAAAAGTCTTTGCAGAGTATCCTCACCCATCCGCCTCACTTGACGCATGAGCCGCGGGAAGCAGAAATAGGAGCACCGAGGCCTCCACTGCGGCCTCCACTTTTTTTGAATGTCAGGTGTCACTTGTTAGGAACAGTTGAAATGGTTGATTTTATAAAGCTGCAGGCCTCCGCTTGGCAACGCGAAGGCTTGGAGATTGACAGCCCACTAAGCTTTGATTTGATAAACCCACTACCTTCCCTGGTGATGGATTTGCCCAAGCCTTTGTTTGATAGGTGGGGCTTCGAAAGAGAAAGATTGAAGCTCGCACGGCAAAGGCTGGTTGAACATCGTATGTTTGCGGTTCGTGTTGTAGTGACCAATGTTGTGCGGAGCGCACCAAAAATGGAGCCCCTATAGACATGAGTTGCACTTAGCTCGTGGAAGAAAATTTACCCGTTTTTTCCAGCAGGGTAAACGCATGTAAAGACTTGTTACCACGAGGGCCACCAGGGGTGCAGTAGAAATGCCAGCCCAGTCAATGACTGCAGGACAAAAGCGCTTCCTCGCTGTTTGCCCGACGGCAGAAAGCTTGGGAGCACTCAGCTAGCTTTGTTTGCGCTGGAAAGCGCTTCACTTGAAAGTAGTCAGAATCAGAATCGTCCCCTTGAGGTACCACAGCTGCCTCCCCAGGGTTGGGTACACGAGCCTCACGCTTCGTGAAGGTGAGCAAGCCTTTCATGTAATCAAAGCGCAAGTCCACACTGGTAGCTCCCAAAGAGCGAGCTTCCCGAACAGTGGCTGCACTCTTGTACCTCTCAAACCGTGTTAAGCTTTTGCCTTTCTTTTGGCACTCTTGTGCATACTCAAT